TTTTTTGCCTGTTAAAAATGTTCACCCCCCCCCCCCCCCCCCCATATATTAATGATTTAATATAAATTGTTATTAAAATTAAAAATATATATTTTAAAAAGGCTTATGTTGTCAGAAATGTTATAATTATGATATCTCTCTATTTTCCTTTCAATATATATATTTTTTGTATCACAGTAGTTTACGTCCTGGTATATCATGTGCTTTTCATCATGTTCGTGTGGTCATACTGGCAAACCATCTTCACAAAACCTATGAACCCACTCAAAGAGGTGAGTATTTTTAATTACGTAAATAAGTTATTTATTAATAGATATTCATTTCATAGTAAACATTATGAGGAATGAATAGAAGACACCTGAAGAGACTAGACTGTGGTCGTCTCAAAGTAAGAAATCAATTTAAATGTTATTGCACAGCATATACTCAGCATGATTTATGAGGTGTTGGCTTATAATGGATATTATTTCCTGCAGGCAGAGATTACTATGTAATATTTGTAAATATATGGTATAACTCCCATTAGGATGAGTCGTTGGTTACACATATTGAAAAAAACAGCATGTTGCGTTGTAAATTGCATGCGATTGTTGCTGTAACTATAGCACCTCACTGCAAGCGGTTATTATTTCAAGCCGAGAGAATGAGAAACAAACTGAAATAGAGAAACCACATATGGCTCATACTGGCAATCAGTCGTACTCCTCTCACATCTGAGTGCAGAGCGTGCTGCTTGTCACACAGATAATATCAAAATGTTTTGGTTTTCGTCTGTTCCTTTCAGTTCCACCTGTCACATTCTGACAAAGAGCTATTAGAGCGTGAAGATCGGAGAGAATCTCAACAGGAGATCTTGAGGAGAATTGCTAAGGATTTGCCCATTTACACACGCACAATGTCTGGAGGTGGGCACTTTTCTTTAAGTTCAGCACTTCCTAATTGTGCCACGGTTAGCAGGCCAAGTTTGTAACAGTCCATTCAGCCCAGATTTAGGTTCAGTAACAAATAATGGCCACAGACAATTGCATTTGTTTCAATCTGTCTTCAGTCTTCAGTGAATCCTATCGATCTGTGTTTTAACAAGCTGTCTTGATACAGCTATCCGCTACTGTGATCGCTGTCTGCTGCTGAAGCCTGATCGATGTCATCATTGCTCTGCCTGTGATATGTATGTCTTTCTCTCTTTTTTTTAAAGACACAACACTTATTAGCTTTTGCTGTGTTGCATTTTAACAGCTCCTCCCTCTGCTGTTTTACAGGTGCATTTTAAAGATGGATCACCATTGTCCGTGGTATGTACTGGCTCAGTAGATTAAATGCAAAGCAAGAATAAAAAGGTTTTTGTCTCGGAAGGAACACATGCACCAAACATTTCTGGGTTTCTATTAGACCAAGAAAACAATCCTTCTTTTTTAAATAAACAATATTCAGTTTTGTCATTTAAAGGTACACTGTTGCATTTTTGCTTGAAATATAAACATTTTGTTTTTGTATGATCTGCTTAGGCCCCACTGACAGTTTAGAGGTGAACCTTCATGCTTGCATTTTTTTGTTTTCAAAAAATTGTACGTTTCTGTACAAATCACATCATATTCAAACAAAATCATACGTCATTGTTACCATAATAAACAAATTAAAATGTATAAATAAATAGTACATTTTAGTATTTATAAATGTTATGCTTCAACTGCAAGACGGGCAAAAGTTACATTGTGTAGCTAGTAAATAGGCAATACTATAAAAATGTTTTAAGTCAAAATTATTATTTAAATGTACTGAATCAATCTGATTACACTACATTTTACAGAAAACATTAGGGTCAAGAAAGGTAACAACTGCACATTTTTCCTTGTGTTGGGCAGTGTTTTTCAATCAAAATAGATATTAATATCCAATTTTATTGAGGCCAATAGATGCTTTTTATCTTCTTTGACAGGGTAAACAATTGCGTGGGCTTCGCCAACTACAAGTTTTTCATGCTCTTCCTAGCATATTCTTTGTTGTATTGCCTCTTCGTCACTGCCACCGACTTGCAGTATTTCATTCAGTTCTGGACTGTAAGTATGAATTATTAATTTCTTCGGCGTATATGAGGAAACCGAAATAATTTGAATGTGCAGATAGGCTGTCTGTAATTTAATAGAACACCAGCCCGAGCAATATCATGTTTTGATCATTGCTTTTCAATAAAAAGTGTGTTTTTATTTTGAAAGGTTGATGGTAAAACACATGATCGTCTAATCCAGTATTTGGTAGGACTGAGTCAATCACAGACATTATTGATGTGGTTTGATTGACTGACTTATTCCTTGAGTTCCAGTAGTTTTGATCGTTTCCCTCAGCATAACACTTTAGCTTTTGCAAATTCTGTTAGATCCAGTAGACAAGCAAACATAGGAAAAATAGTCCGTAGGGACCATGTATCCCTCTTCTGCTTGCTCCTGCTTCTTCAGTTTAATTTTTTCAACCTTTACGATGTGAATTGAGTGTTCCGCACATATTATATTCTGTAAAAATCTATATATCAACTAGCTTAAATTAGGCCCAGGCTGTCTTTTGTTTGTTTGTATGTCGGTTTGTGGTGCATTTAGAGTCTTTCCCGTGTTTCTCACAGAATGGTCTGCCTGATACCCAAGCCAAGTTTCACATCATGTTCCTGTTTTTCGCTGCTTCCACGTTCTCAGTGAGCCTAGCGTTTTTGTTTGCTTATCACTGCTGGCTTGTCTGCAAGAACAGATCCACCTTGGGTGAGTGGGCTGTGCTTTAATTACCCTTGGATTTCAGTAGTAGCTCATCATTAGTGTGTATTATGCTTTCTGTGATCGTCTGTCCGCGCACTGCCTGATCAAATACGTCTCATTCATCCAGTGGCTCAGATCTGGGGCAGGTGGTGTTTAGGTCTTCTTGCAGTCTGCCCATTGTGGCAGATCCTCAAGGGAACATGTGTCTGTGACAACATGCCCAGTCTTCTGGCAAAAGCAAGGGTGTCAAGACGCATAAGTTGAAAATGTTGAAAATTCATCTCAGCAACAGACATATTCTAGTCTTAACCCTGTGGAACCTACTGTATCATATTAATGATCAAAGCTTTACTGAAAAACCTGTTGTACACAATCTGTCACTTGTTTCAGTCATCTGAGTAATAATTTATACTTTTTAGCAAGTAAAAGGCTTTTTAGTATAATTAAAAAAATGTCACCCTTCCAGTTTGTGGGTTGTGTGTCTTTTTGCTATGAAAATTAGTGTTTTTTTTTTTAATAAAGTAAATGTAAGAATAACTTTTATATTGTTTGTAATAAAATGAACACTTACTGGGCTGAAGCAACTTGATTATCAATTCATAATTTTTTAGGAAAATTATGCTAAACTGTGAGTATCACATATGTGACCCTGGACCACAAAATAAGTCATAAGTCGCTGGGGTATATTTGTAGCAATAGCCAACAATATATTGTATGGGTCAAAATAATTTTTTTCTTTTATGTCAAAAATCATTAGGATATTAAGTAAAGATCATGTTCCATGAAGATATTTTGTAAATTTCCTACCGTAAATATATAATAACTTAAATTTTGATTAGTAATATGCATTGCTAAGAACTTCATTTGGACAACTTTAAAGACGATTTTCTCAATATTTAGATTTTTTGGCAACCTCATATTCCAGATTTTCAAATAGTTGTATCTCGGCCAAATATTGTCCAAACAAACCATACATCAATGGAAAGCTTATTTATGTAGCTTTCAGATGACGTATAAATCTCAATTTCAAAAAATGGACTGTTTTTTTGGTCCAGGGTCACGTATAATACATTAGGTTTTTGAGGAACATTTATTTGTACATCTCTCAGTCATTTAAATATCATCTTACTAAGACATATATTATTGGGAGATATACAGTGACAACTGATATTTAAATGCATTTTATATCTGCTATAGAGTTATAAAGATCAGGTTGATGTACATTACAAGCTATCAGAATTTCATCTTACTTTTTGGCCATAGATACATCAGCAATTGCCCCAAATTGCATATTTTTGCTTGGTTTGGGCTTTTGAATAAAACTGGTGTTTTTTCCTCCTAGAGTATGAGCTTCATGTTATCCTATAAAAGCCTGATGTATCAAATATGATATTCAACTTTATTTTTTATTTTTTTTAGATTTTATAAAATATTTTGTCTAAAGGTTCAGTATACTCTTTTTATATATATATATATATAAAGATTTTTCTGACTAATATTTCATATTTTAGGCTTTACAGAATTCAATGTTTAGAGAAAATAAAATGAAAATCATGTTAGTAGGTTTGTATATGAAACATCTTTATGTATTTATGTGGTTTAAATGTTTCTCTTGTCAGAGGCTTTCAGAGCTCCTACATTCCAGCACGGACCAGACAAGAACGGCTTCAGTTTAGGAACAAGCAAGAACTTTCGCCAGGTGTTTGGAGATGAAAAGAAATACTGGCTGTTGCCTGTTTTTTCAAGGTATCAGTTATTGTTCAGTAGCACTGAAAGCATTGGTGTGAGTGTTCTGTGATCTCATTCCCTCAGCATCACATTGTGTTTCTGCAGTCCGGGCGACGGCTGTTCATTCCCCACATGTCTAGTGAACGCAGACCCCGAACAACCCTCCTCACCCTCTGGACGCAACCCTTCAATCAAAAGGTTAATGGCTCAGAATGAATTATTCATTTAGGAAACTGAGTTGTATCACAAAAATGTTGCAGATATTACACTGTAAAACCTAACGGATGTCCTAACTAACACTTTTTAGTTGACTTTACGTAATGTACAATTGGTTGATTTTAATTGTAAAAATCTAGTAATCTGCACTATTTGCATACTATGTCTTTGTTACTCAGAAAACCCCAGTTAAGATAAATTGATTGTTATTTGTACCATTATGTCAAGCTAGTTTATAGTTCCCAGCATGCTTTGCTTCAGAGGAGTAAATGTTGAAATTAACTGTTATTTTATGTGTTCTTGCACAAGATTAATATAGGGGGAGATCTGTTAGTGTTTAATGTTCTGTTTTGTTTGGTTTCTGTTATGTCTGTATTTTTGGGGGTTATTGTGCTAAGGAGTAGAGGCTGTGGTTAGGATGAGGATGGGTCTATAAACATTAAGACTACTATAGTAGATTACTATAGACTGCTTTATTCATAGAATGTGTGTTATTGCTAACTGGACAGTTGAAGCACTTAATTTACTGGCGTTACACTTACTTGATCTTTTTAAGGTTTGCATGGTTTTAACAGTGAATTGGATCGTTATTCAAGTGAATACAACTGAGAAATTCTAGGTTTGCAGTGAATGTTACATTACTTAGCTCAACTTAAATGAGTTAAATTTTAATACACACATAGTATATTTAACTTAAAATGAATTAGTTATTGAAACTAAAATGTATTTTTTTACTTAGTTTTTTAAGGCAATCAGTTTGCATGCTTTAGTTAAGGCTAACATTAGATTTTACAGTGTATAGAACAATATGAAAAAATACCAAAATATAAAAAAAAATATATAGATAGGAAAATTTTTACATTGCAATCAAACAATGAGTCAAGAAAAAAATTTGTAGTAGATATTACTTCTGCTTCCAATGTCACAGTAGAAATGCACATTGCATTGTGGGATACTGTATTGATGATATGCAGAGCCTTCTATTCATGCCTTTTTCATTCTTTTCTAGCGCTGGAGAATCCCATCAGTTTCCTCCTAAACCTCTGAGAGAGTCTCAGAGCCGACTGCTGAATAACGGACAGTCAGAAGGAAGTGAAGACAGAGACAAGCGAGGTGATGCATCACATCTGAGATCAATACGAAACACTGCTAATTTGAGTGTTCTGTGTGCCTTGACTAGAGAAATTTGCAGTTATGAATGTGTATTACAATGTGGTCAAACAACATGGTGCTCAGTCCGTATTTTTCTA